TCCACGTACGTAAAAAGTCTAAGAAAAAGCGGTCCGCACGGCAAAATTGTAACAAACCAGACGAATTAAAATTCAATTAAACATCTTTAACCACAACACCATTTATTCAAGAAATGAAGTTGAGCGACAAATCTTTCTGAAAATCAGTATAAAACCTTGCCTTCTTGATTGCTTTTTTTTGTTGTCATTGTTGTTTTTTTGTTGTTGTTGTTTTTTTTCAGCCACCAGCCGCCTCTGCGTTAAATGGCTAGTAAAATCAACTACTCCTCGAAGCAAGACTTTCTCTCTTAGAGCTCTCTTTCTACAACTAAAAAGACAACTGAGCATTCTTTAGGACTTTTTCTTTCGATCTTCGTTCATAAAATGGCTATAAGCTTGCGTACTTTTCAACCAGGTAACACAAAGAAGCTACAACAAACGTGCATTGCTCACCGTAGTAAATAAATGAATGATAACTTTATTTATACACGGTTAAAAACATCAGTCTAACATAGAAAGCTAATTTTTTAACTGTTAAAAAAATTAACTGTTTTCCATATTTGCCGTGTGTGAGTACTCATCAGAAAACCATCTATGGGAACAGCAACTTCTCTCAAAGAGACCTAAGGAGTTTAATGTACGTATTTCCTCAGGAAGATTGTTCCATAGAAGAGCGCCATTGTAACTAAAGCTACGCTTCAGGTAATCAGTTCTTGATTTTGGGAGCATTAACTTTTTTCTTGGCGTTGCGATGCTCTTGGGGCAAACAAATTAAAGAGATAAGCTGGGGCGAGATTATTAATGCACTTGTACATTAAATTAGCCTTTTCTTTAGCCCTTCAAAGCGAGTTAAGAAAATATCTGGAACTCGTATCATAGCTAGATTTAGTGATAACTCCTATCTGATAGCACGATTTTGAAGTTTTTGAAGTTTCTCACTAAGCTGTTGGGTCAAGCCATCTCATACAGCGCTGCAATAATCAAAGTGTGGCTCGATAGGACCTTTCTATATTTTACTTGCAGTATGTATTGAAACAAATGGCCTGACCAGCTTAAGAGCACCGATACCAGAGGATACTTTTTTAGAGATTTCATGAATGTGAGCCTTCCACGAGAGACTTTCATCAATGATAAGCCTAAGAGATTTGCTTTGATTGCTTTAGTTTATTGGGACGCTGTTTATATGAATGTTCGTTGTGTAGTCATTTAAGGACTGTAGTTTCCGCCTCGAGCTAATAAACATAAACTCCATTTTGGCGACATTGAGACTTAACTTTTTAGCTTTGAGCCAGCGATCAATATATTTCAGGTCACTATTTATTTGGGACTCAAGATCAGGTATAGTAGCTGCAGAAAAGGTAACATTAGCGTTGTCGGCATATATTCTAGGAGAGCCCACATTCAAACAATTTGGTACATCATTTATATAGCTCAAGAAAAGAAGAGGACCGATTAATGACCCTTGAGGTACTCCACAATGTAAAAGGCTCGCCCTAGATAGATGACTGTTTACATTACACCTTTGCATACGGTTAATTAGGTAAGATTTAAACCATTTCAGGGCGTCTTGATCAACGCCGCACTTAGTAAGTTTTTTTTTTTTTATTTATCTCGTGGTCAATAGTGTCAAAGGCGTTCTTCAAATCAATAAAGATTACGCCATTAAGAAGACCTCTATCAATATGGACAAACCAGCTATCGTTTATCTCCAACAAGGCAGTAAGAGTGCTTTGTAGCGAGAGGAAACCAAACTGGCCTCTGCGATATAGTGATATAGTTGATGATAGATAATTTTTTCGAAAAGTTTGGCTACGGTGGGAATAACAGATATAGGTCGATAGTTGTTTAGGTCAGACTTTGAACCATTCTTAAAAATTGGTGACACTTTAGTCAGTTTCTAGTCAGAGGGAAAAATACCAGTCACTAACGATTGATTAAAGATGCCCGTTAAAGAAGACGCTACAACATCGGCAGCAATCTTCAGAAGCCTGTTTGGAATTTTGTCAAGACCGGTTGCCTTACCTACATCGATAGTCTTAAGTAATTTGATGACTTTTTTAATATTGATCCGTTGAAAAGAAAATACTCCGTTAACAGGATTAATTTCTAAACTAGGAATTTCTTGTGCTACAGATTGGCCAATGTTTGTAAAATGATTGTTAAATGCTTCAGCGATATCACCAGGTGAATTGAAAACTTGGTTTCCTGTTTTGACTTGAGACGCTTTGGTTGATTTACTTTGCCGAGGTTGGAGTTCATTAATTCATCGCCAGGTTTTACGAGGATCACTTTTGTTTGCATCAAGGTTTTCAGAAAAGTATTTACGTTTAGCTTTCTTCACTGAGGTATTGGCCTTATTCATTGCAACTGTTTCCAAATCAAGGGGTCATTTGTAGATGCAGCTTTCTTTTTTAGAAAATCTCTTTTATGTATTTTACGCAACAGTTCCTTTTTGTTCTGAATGGTGCATGCTTATCAATAACACTCGCTAACAGGTGCTTCCAAAAGTCCCACATTTCATTTAGGTTATTGTGCCGGCTAACGCGGTTCCAGTCAATCATGCGAAGATCTCGCAAAAATTCAGCTTCATTGAAATTCTTGAGCTGTCGGACTTCAATATTAGAGCATATTATATTCAACACACATTAGAGCCAAGATGAGTAACTTTTCGTATACGAAAAATAGCAGAGTGATCACTTATACCAATGTTAATGGCACCTGACTTTGATAGGGGAGGGAAGGGATAGAAAATGGAAACCTATTGATGCCAGAAAATTTGGTTATGACGTCAGCGTACGCCCGAACGACCGTCCGTACGGACTCTGGAAGTAGGGGTAAAAAACTCAGTAGGATAGGGAAGTGAGCAGTCCCAGACATGTATGTTACGTTTCGTTTTGGCGCAAAATTAACCATTTTAGGGGCAACCAACAGATTTGGACGAGTAAAAATCTAGATTGAAGTCTCAGTTTCGCAAATAAATTTCTTAAGCTTTTTATTACTTTGTGCTTGGTAACACTCCAGGAACAACCAAGTCTACCCCCTCCCTGCTTGGTCAAAATTTTGACAGGTTGATTCATGAACGAAAACTTATGCATCATCTAGAAATTTGTTTGCTGGCAGACTTGCCGACAACGGGAGCCTATTTTTCATTTCAGTTAACTTTTAAAATTATCGTGTTCTTGTCCGGATCCTACTGTCAAAATGGACTACAACTGTTGTCGAGTTTCTATTTCTGTTTTTAGGTTTTCGTCGAGGAAAGTGCCGCAAAGAGATTTATCGGTGGCTGCCTTTGTGATAGTTCATGCGGGATATTACGGCAGACCACAGGAAAAATCTTCTTAACATTTCAAAGTTTTAGTTTTCGTGTTCTTCCACGGGCCGCAAAAAAAGGAAATACAGCTGCTATCAAGATTCCTCTGTTTTTCGAACCTGTTTTTTTTGTTTGGTTTGGCTTGAGGAAGGCTTCGCAAAGGGATTTCAACGAAAATGAAAGTTGAGCATGCATGATTTTACAACAGAGTAGAGGAAAAGTTTTTACCTCTGTCACTTAATCGCTTTCAGGAGCTACATACAAGGTTAGCCTGAGTAATTATTACAGTTTCTGCCCCGTTTTAGTTTTGTAAAGCTAAGTCAGGCGTAATTATTTCATCTCATAATATGCAGTATTAAAGATTTGAAAAGATTTGAGACAGACTTCAATGGCCTCACACAAGCTTAAATTTATTTTCTGGTTGCAAATGGAAAGAGAAAGGTCTTAGAGAATACCCAGTTGTAATGGTTGCCGGTAAAAAAATTACGATAATTAGCGAAAATCTTGCTTCGAGACTCGTTCATAGACCTATTTTAAACGCAAAAAGCCGGCTAAAATATAATAAACGAACAAACAAACACAGTACAAAGAAATCAAGGTTTACAGAAACATTTCAGCCACCCTCAGATTTGCTGTCTGATAAAATTGTTGTTGTACATCTTTCACTGAAGTTTTATTCATGTTTTGATTGTCAGTCATAATTTTGCAAGGTTTAATGCAGCTTTTTTTGCTTTCGCGGACTGTCAGCTGGACTGTGTCTGAATTAAGCGTGAATGAAACGTTAAAGTTCAAAGCTTATAAAACGCTCAGAAACTCACTCGTATTGCACTGGACAGAGCAATCAACTTAACCACCCTCAGTGCCGAACCTCCGTTGCACAGCGTGCCTTCCCCTTCAGGGCTTCTAAAATAAAACATTGGAACAGTCTTTCAAATGACATAAGAAATTCTGCCTCTGTTGAGGTTTTTAAAAGGAGGGCCGGGCTTGAGATAATGAGAATGCGGAAGTAAAGCATTTACTCGTAGACTGTTGGTCTATTTCAATTAATTGTTTATTAGCTTTCAATTTCATAATTGTAGTTCGAGCGTTCAAATTCAGTTGTAAATTACAAATGTAGTTTTTAGTTATTTCGTACATTACTTAGCCTAATGAGTCTTTAATTAATTAATTCTGAAAAACCCAATTGAGAAAATTAATAAAATGTATTGTATTGAATTGTATTGCCTAGCAGGCTCTTCTCCTTCTATATAAAATCATGTTTATTGGTTAGGTAATGTTTTAGGCATTGGCCAGACTTAACATTCATGTTTACATTCATTTATTCATTCATGCTTTAGCCAGACTTGACTTTCTCAAGTCCCAAGGCTCTGGTATAGGGGAGGACCGTATTTCTCGATCAGAATCACTGGTGGTCGAATTCCGTGCTCGTCATTATCTTGAGGGGTTATCCCTCGGTTTTTCTTGATCTTCCGTAGGATTGAGCATCTGAGATTGGGAGGAATATGGCGTTTTCCAAGGTTTGCTGGCTTAATCGCGGCATTCGCGCCAAGCTAGAAATCATTATTGCCCATATCCATCTCGTGTTCCATGGGGGTCCAGTATAGAAACGAAAATTGTTTTACTGCTTTAGTTTTGATTGAGTGAAAATAACCATAGAGTTAAGCCAAGAAAAAATGAGTTCTTTTTCTATTTAAGAAATCCAGACTGGAAGGCCATAATCAGGTTAGAGTGCAATCCTTCGCTGGATAAACCTGATGATGCTAAATTCGAAGTACTTCAGGATAATACTACTACTTACGTAAGTATTTCAAAATAATTTTTTTTCAATAATTAGTGTCCTATAAAGGTCGAAAAAAAACGCTCTGTAGTTTAATCATCAGGACTTAAATAGCATTTGTTTCGCTTTATTTTTCAGGTATTCTCTTTAAGCCATAAGTGCGCTTGTCCAAATGGTTGTCCAGAGGAAATACCAACTAGCAGTAAGTTACTTGCTCTGCTAATGATCCTTTCTTAAAGAAACAAATGTAAATATAAAGATTTAGCCAAGCCTAAAAGCGAAACTTCCGTTTAAGTTAATAAACTTAGCCTTGCTCTATTGTGTGGCCCTTGTCATCGTTTTCTGTTACATTTAGTTTCGTAATAAAATATTAATGAGCGAGGTTCGAAATGGTAAGCCAAATGGGTTTTTAATTTTTCCACATATTTTCTTTTCAAAGTCGGACGACAAACCTTATCTGTAAACCTGTCTCTACATTATGCATCACAATATCCGAGCGTATACGTCACCATATAATGCACTGTTTGTTTGCTATAAAGACAGACCGGCCTAGGACGGTAGATATCTAGACATACCACGTCCAAGCCGACTCTGAAAATAGAATGTGTACGCTGCGTGCTTGCGGCAACCTTTGTTTGTCAAATGAAACAGATACGGCAGAAAAATATTGCGGTATTTACCATGGATTTTTATAAAAATTGTTCAGCCGGTGTGACAACAATCAGTTTATCATTAAAGATCCCCTGAATATTAGCAGAAATTAAAACAAATTGTTCCCAGAGAGGACGTGTACTTACTGAAAAGATAAAAAGAAAAGAAGACAAGAACCTAATATTAACTTCATGGAAGAAGTTACCGTCGATGCTGGTTATATCCAACCAGTCGAAGAATCAGGTACCTCTGTGTTAAAGCTGTGTACCAGAAGGACATTTATTTCTAAGCGAGATAATTTTATTTTTTTATAGTTTGTTTCACTCGGTGTACCTTGTTCTTAAAGGGAGAAGACACGCACGGACCTACAAAAGTAAAAGTGACCAGATCTTAAGAAACGTCACATGCATTATGAATTAGAATTCAAATTATTCCAGCCAATTCATATGAAGCTTTCCTGGTCAGGGGGAGGGCAGAGGGAATTCTTCAGCACCGTTTCTTTTCTTCTTTTTCTCTGTGCATACGTTTTGCAACTTGTAGTAAGGACAGCGAGACTCGGGTTTAAACTTAGAACGGAGCCTACTTTTTCAAACGCGAGAGCTCTATCTGACCACTTTAGTGTGCGAAATGTAGACCTTAGCAAAGGCTAATAATTTCAAAAAGAAATTTGGCAGTTTTTAGAGATAAATATAAGAAACGCAATTTTCCCTGTGTTTCTTTAAAATTTCAATAGTCATAATGAGGAAGATCGTCTATTGCTGGTCATTCCAAAACCAGCCAAAACTTTTGCAATAGGAGGCACTTCTTAAAGGTATGGTAAAACGGGAAACAAAAACATGTAACTTTTTTGCAACATTGCGGCAAGACGAATTCAAAAACTATGTTACGCGTTTAAACACACGAATCAAACCTTTTTGGAACAAATCAGACTGTTGCAGATTGTGAAAAGTTGTTGCAGAAAGTACTAGAAGTTCTACTTTTTGGAACAAAATCTGAATATGTTGCATGCTTTACCAGCCAAAGACAAACTTGGTTTGTAGCAAGTGGCGTCCCCTGGTGACGTGAATCTGTGTTTAGTATGACTCCAGGATACTCTTAACCAATCAAAAGTCAGTTTTCGCGCAACTTGCAACAACCTGAATTGCTGCAAGACAGCTGTTTGAACGTGGGAGTGGTAAAATGCGCAACATAGCTTCTCAACTCGTCTGGCAGTAATGTTGCAAAGCAAGGCAACCTTACAAAAGAAAGCTAGAAGAATAATCACCTTCTCCAGTTTAACTTGTAGTATATGTATTAAATATTTAGGTCTACCGTCCCCACCCCCCATGTTTGTATTATTGAGCATGCGCTCTGACTGTTATGATGATTGAAAACACATGTGTGCATGAGCAGCAATGGTGTGTGTTGGTGGTTAAATCCGAACCGTAAGTTACTCCATCACTGAACACTCAAGTCCTTTATTTAAAGACTGGAATGTTATCAAGCTGTCTGATATCATTACCCTCCAACTTGCAGTGTTTCATTTTTGGTACTTTTTTCAATCCTACTAGGAACATACATAGATATAAAACTAGGTTGTCCTCCAGGATGATTTATGCCATCCCAAAAGCCAAAGCAAATTATGGAAATTTTAACATAGGGCTCCAGGGTGCTAAAGTTTGGAATGATATAAGTGATGCCATCAAGTTCCTCTCTCTCAAAAGTTTTAAGAAAAAGCTAAAGTCAATTCTTATTGATAAATATTAATTGCAGATTTATCAACTCTATATGTTTTTCTGGCTTTCCGTTGTTTAATACTGGCATACTTAGCTTTCTTTTGCTCTCTTTCTTTTTCTACTGTGTTTTGTGTAGCTGTTTGTGGTGTGTGGTTCCTGACCCTTTGATTTAAACTTCTATTTATAACCTAATTAAGGCTGCCCTATCTTCTTTAGCCCTCAATGGTTATTTTGGGAAGCCTGCACTCTCTCCATATTATATCTATTTTTTTTCTTTGTATTATGTAAATTATTGTAGGGTACAAATAAATTTGTTGTCGTTGTTTTTTTTTTTTCAAGTTGCACTTTTTTGCTACCCGTTTTTCCATAGCTTAAAGGAAATCACTTTCTTTGGACAGGTCCATCTCAAAGCACTCCTCCTAGCAATCCAGTGGCAACTATAACACCTATAACACGAAGAGACAAGAATCTCTCGATAGCACTAATTTCTGGAGGTACTCTTGTAATTACTGTGTGTGTGTTCGTAATATTCTACAAATGTCGCCAGAAACAGAGTAGTCTTGACACCGAAAGGCGATGTTTCATGGACCAAAATGGAGGCAACGGAGAGGAAAAGCTCACCTATCAAAGCAACAATGTAACCGAACATCTCACTGATCGAGAAGACAACGTTAACCAGGATCCTATCAACAGCTTTATCAAAAACCCAATGGGAGGGAGTAGGTCTCCGTCGACATCTTGCAAAATCAGAGAGCTTAAAAAAGATAATGTCAACAAATTAAACGCCCCATTGTAAGATAGAGCGTAACAGAGAGAGGAAGAGGACGAGAATTATGATTTGGGAGGCGGTCTCAATTAAAATAATCGTGATTGATGTAATAACCTACTTTCCAGGATTCTCTACAGTTATGTTTCCCCCTTAAAAGAGGAAGAGAGAGCAATCTAATTAATTAATCTTTTGACTATGAAGCAAGTCTCATTCCCTGTCAGTTTAACACATCTCGAGTAGTTTGGATTAACCATAATAAACCCTCTAAGGAAGTCGCTCACTTGGCTTGATATATGGAGCTCCTGATGCAGTATAACGCAAAGAGACACCACCTCATTTCACTTACATGTATTTCGTACTGCTTAGTGCAGAACTATCTGGTAAGGTATAGGACTATCCTGAACTACTACGAGAAACGTTGTCTAATTCATACTATACATACTTATGTATGAGTATACATACTTATGTATCAGTCATCTGCTATTTCAGGGTTTTTTCACAAATGTATATTTGTGAGCTTATAAAGATCAAAACAAATACCATGTGCGCAAGTCTAGTTTTGTAGTCGAAAATGCAGGTCTGGTGGTGCATGTTGAAACTGTCTAGGTAGTTTCCAAGTCAGATTGTACTGCTTGAGTTCGAAAGCTAGTAAAGCAAAAGATACAGGGTCGTTACATGATGCTGGTAGTAGTCATTAGAGATGATTTACTTCAAATTGAGGCCTAGCAAGTGCTCAGTAAGTTGTCTCGGTTTACGTGCCTTCCTGCATACCAATAAGTGTCTCGTCATTTCTTTTGATATGTTAATAAATTGCTTCAGAAAAAGTGCGTCCCTCCATGTCATGTGTGTTTTTTATTTATAAGTGCCCTGTAAGAACTTCGCTAGGCACTTACTGGATACTTGCTAGTCCTCAGACTCAGGTTAAGCATCCCTACCCTTTCCAAACCAACCGTATTTTGAAATTGTTTGAAAAGAAGTTAAAATGTAATTAAATCATTTAAAAACTGTTTTTACCTTAATTTGGGGTATTGTTATTATATGTTTTACGAATAAAACCAAAATAGCCATAGAGAACTAAAAACTGTTATCTAATTTCGGAAGGTTTTCCCTGTAATTGAAACACATTTGAATTAAAACTTCATTTTAAAAGGGTACTTCAACTTTTAATTTCAGAACAAGAGTAATGAAGAGTACTCAAAGCTATTTTCAAATACCATATTTAAACCGTGATTTGAAAAGATTAACGGTTTGTTATAATTATTCATTCAAAATATTACTCCGTTTCTGATTAGCTAAAAGCACACGCATAATTCACCATAACCAGCTACTGTTGACCAAATTTGGAAGAACTGTGCGATTAATCAGTTGAGGACGTCGATAGTGCAGCACAGTTGCAGGTTAATGCACCGTTAACCGAGAAGACCTGGGGACGAGGTCGAGTAGTTTTGGTTGTGAAAAGAAGAATGGCCGAACAGTTAGCGGAACATTTTACTCGTTTCTCGACCAACTATTGTCTAAAACATAGCAAGAAGACAACTCGACGGACAACATCTGCTATTTGGAGTATATTTGCAGACCTGAACAGCCCTTCATCTTCTAAACATGCACTATCGAGGTGAAGTTAACATGACGAAGTTAAACATGTTTTAGCTTGTTTTTAAACTAGGAATTGTTTTGAATGAAAAATAAAGCAATTAATAAATTCGGCTGATTAGGATATTTAACAATTATTCCTCGAGCCCGAGTGGGCTCTGAGTCAATAGCCCATGAGGCCGAAGGCCGAATTGGCTATTGACTCAGAGGCCATAGGGACGAGAGGAATAATTGTTTTAGTAAGATCCAACCAGTTGGTCAAAAATATCGAGACGAAACAACTTTTAGCTGGTTAAAGAATCCCTTTTTGCCGCCAAAAATCCGGCGCTCTTCGCTACTAGTGGGCTATAACATATAACCTAGTAGTAGCTCAACCAATCAGAACGCAGCATTGATGATAGACCACTACTTGGATTTTACTAAAAAGAATTATGCAGATCTCGGGGGGGTTATCCACCACAGCCTTCGGCCTCGTTGGCTAACACCATCCTCGATCTGCATAATTCTTCATATCCTACTCAGCCTCACTCATTAATTGCTAAATAAATAACTTTTGCTGGTGACACGGTAGTGAATCCAACCGTCGTCGCAGTGTGTGTTACATTACATGTCTGCTTCCCGAATGTTATTTGTACTATGATTAAAAACTGAATCATTGGATATTGCAACTCTAGATTTTTGATTGGCTTAGGTATATTCAGTTTCCTCGTCAGTTCAAGACTCGAGCTAGTTGAATATGAGAAGAATATAACCAACTCGTATCTAACCGGCGCTAGTGAAATAATTACTAAATAGTACCCCAGACTGGACAAAAGAGGGTGAGATTTCCGCACAGTTCCATACTATTTCACACAAATACTTGATATGAATAGAGTCCAAACATGCACACATAACAAATGAATCGGGGCTGTACAGAAAACTTACCCAAATGAGGTTTGATACTGCCACTTCTATCAAAGGCAAGCTACTTGAAAGGGCAGAAACAAAGATTTCCAATTTTGGAAAGAATCTGATGAAGAGAAGTCAAAGAGCAGTAACTGAAGACTGGATTGTGATCACTTTCTATAGTAAGGAACTGTAGTTTACAATCAGCCCTGTTGGTAGCACAAACGTACAAAGGTATGAAATTAAAGCGGAAGTCTAAACTTGTCATTCGTTTTCTTATCATATCTTGTACCAAAGTACACAGAACAGGCCGTTGCATTCTGAACTAAAGCGGTTTACTAGGAGGTCGAAATGATAAGTTCTACTCAACAGGAAGCGATATAAAATAAATAAAAAATAAAAAGTCAATGACCTTTGTCAATTTTATCCACGACAGAGTAAATAAGATTTATCAATTAGCATTTTGGCGCTTGTGTACTAGTTATTGATTTTAGCAGAACGAAGTTCCCAGAATCCTGTTAAACACCCTCAGTTACCGTGCTTGTGTACTAGGCGGTCGAAAAACTTTGCTTTTATATTAACTCTGACCTCGTTTCAGCATTTGCGGCTTTTGTTGAGGACAGAGTGATTGTTGTCCCTAAAAGGTTAAATTTTCTGACATGTCAGCAGTCTTTCATCGGAGCTATTAAGATACTGCTGTACGTCTGCTTTCGAGTCTGTTTCGGCGACGAAGCTTAATCCTTTTGTATATCATGCTTGTATTGTTCTGAGCCCGAATGTCACCGCGGTTTCCAGAGAAGCGACGTGATTCATTTGAATCTCGATTGATGTATTAAAAGAAAAGGCGGCAAAATAGCGCGCAGATGGCAAGCGGGTCGCAAAATTTTTTGGGGGGGATCACTTTCTTGGGGAGCTTGGCCACTAAGCTCAGAACAGTAACGGAGCCTTCCCATTTAGTATCCAGTCCTTCCTGAACCGTTTGTATGCAATGTTCAGCTCGCCGCAGAGGTTGAGGTTGCCCTGATAATAGTGATTAGGGTTAAGCACTGACTCGATAAACAGTTAGCTTCTATTTGGGGTTAGGGTTGTTGCTATATATCTTCAAATCAAGCCATCAATTGTCAGCAAATCCTCAGTGGCGTATTGGTATGGGAGATGGACTGCAGATTCTACGCTTCGGGTTCGAGTCCCACTCGTGCCGTTCTTCATTTTTTCCTTAAAAATTGAAGATACTTAGACTCTTTACTTATTAATTTCATGTAGGAAAAGGGAAATGTCTCAGAATGCCTTGTGAGAGGGAAGTGTCAGTTTGGAGTATGGAGATAAGTGCTCCCCAAGAAAGTGATCTCAAAAAAAAATTTTCGCAAGCGGGACGCTATCAAGCATGAACGCGTTGTAAGAGGCCTATTTTGGCGGTGACCACAAGGTAGGGCACGATTTAATGGGTCATCATAGGGTGCTTCTGTCGGTTAAAAACAATGCGGGAAAAAATAACATTTTTCTGCGAAAATGCGACTAAACTTTTCGAATAACGCTAAGTACTTTTGCCCCACTGAAAAGCCCAAAAATATGCTAGCATAATTTTTAAAAAACCTAGCTTACAACGTACCCTCAAATTTAATCACGGCAGGGAATTTGGACTTGGAGCGAGGGCTTTGGTGTCAGGATATGAATTTGGGGATTTGGGGATTTTGTGCGTACGTCTGAAAAAATCTTGGCTTGCTACGCCCTGGTTTGAAAACAGTGCGTCTCTAAGAAACACAAATCCTCCCTCTAAAACAAACGCCGTCCCCACCAGGAAGAAAGGCTCACCTTACCGACAGAGCAGAAAATTGTAACTGAAATACCTTGTAGATACGGCGACACAAAGCTCCAGTTGACATAATTTTAAAAACAATAATTTTCATTCAAGCTAATATCCGTACCATGCGACAAAAAACAAGAGACAGTTCGATTTCACATAACATGCAGCGTTAAGTATCAGGTGTAAAAAAGTAAATCCAAAACGATGATTGGCCGTTTTTATGCTAGAGACGTTAAAGTCGTCTTAAGACGACTTTAGCGTCTAGTATAAAAACGGTAAATAAGGCAGACGACTTTAACGTCTCAGACGTTAAAGTCGTCTGGTGTAAAGACGGGACGTCGTAAACTAGGACGCACTTATGCTCGACTCGTCCAGAGACGACTGGGACGAGTGCAAAACAACATGGCGGCCAAGAAGAGCGAGAAGGAGTCTCGTGGTAGAAAGTGGAGTGAGGATGAACTTAAGGAGTTTGCATCTGTTCTTGTAGACGACCGAACTGAATTTGCATTAACTTTGGAGACTCTTGCACTCAAAACGTCAGCTAATGTTCATATTTTTGAAGCCATGAAGAAAGAGTTAGATGCTCGTTTACAAGCGAAGACAACAACCAGTTCTAAGAAAGGAAAAGCAAAGGATATCGATACATCAGTTGTTAAGCTACGAGTAAAATATAAATGGCTGAAAGAGCAGTGGAGAAAATACACCGACAGGGCAAAGTCTGGCAGTGGTAAATCAGCAATAGATG